TGCTGGAAGGTGTGTTTTGTGTTTAGTCCGATGTATGGTCTCTTGCTGGAAGGTGTGGTTATGTTTAGTCCGATGTATGGTCTCTCTTGCTGGAAGGTGTGTTTTGTGTTTAGTCCGATGTATGGTCTGTCTTGCTGGAAGGTGTGTTTTTTGTTTAGTCCGATGTATGGTCTCTCTTGCTGGAAGGTGTGTTTTGTGTTTAGTCCGATGTATGGTCTCTCTTGCTGGAAGGTGTGTTTTGTGTTTAGTCCGATGTATGGTCTCTCTTGCTGGAAGGTGTGTTTTGTGTTTAGTCCGATGTATGGTCTGTCTTGCTGGAAGGTGTGTTTTTTGTTTAGTCCGATGTATGGTCTCTCTCTTGCTGGAAGGTGTGGTTGTGTTTAGTCCGATGTATGGTCTCTCTCTTGCTGGAAGGTGTGTTTTTGTGTTTAGTCCGATGTGTGGTCTCTCTTGCTGGAAGGTGTGTTTTGTGTTTAGTCCGATGTATGGTCTCTCTTGCTGGAATGTGTGTTTTGTGTTTAGTCCGATGTATGGTCTCTCTTGCTGGAAGGTTCGTTTTGTGTTTAGTCCGATGTATGGTCTCTCTTGCTGGAAGGTGCGTTTTGTGTTTAGTCCGATGTATGGTCTCTCTTGCTGGAAGGTGCGTTTTGTGTTTAGTCCGATGTGTGGTCTCTGTTGCTGGAAGGTGCGTTTTGTGTTTAGTCCGATGTATGGTCTCTCTTGCTGGAAGGTTCGTTTTGTGTTTAGTCCGATGTATGGTCTCTCTTGCTGGAAGGTGCGTTTTGTGTTTAGTCCGATGTATGGTCTCTCTTGCTGGAAGGTGCGTTTTGTGTTTAGTCCGATGTATGGTCTCTCTTGCTGGAAGGTGTGTTTTGTGTTTCACGCTGCTCTCACCAGTATTACAACTGTATGTCATTGATCTGTATAAATAACTGAATCTGGCGAAAACAATCCAGTGGTTGACGTCTTGACCATCGATCTACGCAGTCGGGTTACGATGACCTGCATCGGCCAACAAGTCTGTACATTTCACTAGGGCTGGGACGGTACTCGAATCCGGGTCGGGTACAGCTGGAATCGAGTCCTATTTCTGGGAATCGAGTACCCGGAAATGGAGAGAATTCTGTAATGGCAAGGGCAGATAGTAACTTGTCTTTTTCATTATTGACGTAACACACATTTACATCATTGGTGTTGTCCGATTAATGGAGGTTATTATTACCGACTGTAATTTATCTGCGCATGAGCAGTGAGTAGTCAAGTTACAGTAACAGCGGGAACGAAATGTTTATTTTAACGAGCAATGTAAGCAATGGTGTTACTCATATTGGTTGACCAGACGTAAATTATATAGCTTGAGATCATTTTTAATGTCTTGTTGCCACCCTTATAAGTTTTCTATTATAATCTCTGTCAAATCGTGATTGAATATTCAGAAAGTTGACAGAAGCGTTGTATTCCTTACATTTCCGGGTACTCGATTCCGATTCGGGTAAGTACATGCGGGTACTCGATTCCATTTTTTCCTACCCGTCCCAGCTCTACATTCCACCTTGTTGATCCCTTCTACAACAAGCATGGGTTGTTCAAGACTCATTACAATCTGGATCTGCACGTGTTTTCCTTAAACATTTCAACAAGAATTTCTCCTTATGGAGTGTGTAGAAAGTGATTTCCATCGTGGCGTGTTCAAACCACGTGTTTCCTTAAGTTTGTGAGTCTGTTAGTTTGGGTCGATGACTACCTTTAAAGGTATCCTGTGGACTACTCCATACTGTAATAGTAAGGGTGCTGTATTGGACTTCACAAACTCAACCAGCGGTTGTACACGAGTATACACAGATAATACGCTCTAATACTTTTAATTGATACAAATTATGCCAATGTGACACAAATATGTAAACTACCCTATATGATAATGGTTAGGAGCTATTCATCTGTATAGTAAACTTCGCCTCCGTCACCATCAGCTACAGCAGTTACATCAACGTAATTTACGATGTGGAGAATTACTCCTGCGACCAATTTCAGTCCTAGGGTTATCTAGGGTCGTTCTTTCTCAACATTAAAAAAAGGTAATAACAGACTTTCCTAAAAAGATATTATTCAAAGCAATTTTCTGTTAGTTATGTTAGTAATAAATACAAGCACCTCGGAGCGTTTCGGGTTAGAACTACGTCAGTTTAACAAATGTTCATCTTTTAGTATTTTAGTACCTTTGAAGCCAGTCAGTATCAAGAACATTAAAAACCTTAGTGAGACCTCACTTATTTAGTGTTGTCTTGAAAAGCATCTATTCAAACTTTTCAGGAATTTTTTTTTAATAATGTGAAGGAATATATTTCTGCAATATATTTGATGATTTGAGAGTTTCATTATTTGTTACAACGTAATGCCAAAAGGTAAATGTTTCCGGTGAATTTGAATGAGTTTTGGCCTGATCATCATGCTGTAAGTGCCTGACAATGATTGAACAACGGAGTTCACGGATGAGTGTCTATGGGTAACATCGTCACAGAGCGTTAGCTAATGACCCCAGTCAGTTCAGCAGATGGTCAAGTCATGAGTGGTCAATAAACGCTCATCTTGACCTCTTACATCATCACCTTTGGGCGTTCCCATTTATAGCCCAATCCCCTAAGCCCTCTTAAAACCGAGAGGGAGTTTTATAAAGGACAAAACCTGTAAAACGGCCATCTTGAAACTGACATCAACACGAGTCCTGTTTTTGTGGAATGTGTCAAAACATACTCACAGGCTCTTGACGCTATCTTAATCTCGCTTGTTTCGTAATTGATTCATTGAATCGTCAGAGTGACAGTTTTTGAATAAATTTGATGAAATCAGACAGAGGTCAAAGTTTGATTAAGAGTGTACTCAGAACGAGGGGCAAGGGTCAAGGGTCAAGACTGAGGCTTTAGATCTACAATGAATAAAGGAACAACGGAGAACAAAATACATTTGGAGAAGAGAGGAAAGAGTTGAGTATAATCCCCCTTTGGACCAGACATTCTTATGTATATCAGCAATTCGGGCTCATTTAACAATTCCAACAGACCGTTTCACATTCTCGGGTCCGGGGAATGGTTTTCGAATTCTTGATTTACATCAATCTGGAAAAAGAGTCGCACTCACAAAGACGAGAAGTTATTGTCAAGAAATGTATCAGTACAATGTATTATACTTTCCAAATTCTAAAATGCCACTCAAACAAGTATTCTGGAAATAAGAACTGCCTTAAAGTTAATTTTCGCTGGACACTTGTCGGATGGCAAGAAATCATGGGGTTTCGTTAAAAGAAACAACGTCTGCGGAGTCTTACTAATTCACACGAGCACGGAGAACGTCCACTTGTATACTCTCTCTCCCTCTCCCTCTCTCTCTCTTTCTCTCTCTCTCTCTTTCTCTCTCTCTCGTTCTCTCTCTCCCTCTCCCTCTCTCTTTCTCTCTCTCTCGTTATCTCTCTCTCTCTCTCTCTCCTCTCTCTCTCTCTCTCTGTCTCTCTCTCTCTCTCTCTCTCTCTCACTCTCTCTCTCTCTCTCTCTCTCTCTCTCTCTCTCTCTCTCTCTCTCTCTCTCTCTCTCTCTCTGTCTCTCTCTTTCTCTCTCTCTCACTCTCTCTCACTCTCTGTCTCTCTCTCACTCTCTCTCTCTCTCACTCTCTCTCTCTCTCTCTCTCTCTCTCTCTCTCTCTCTCTCTCTCTCTCTCTCTCACAATGAATATATTACTGAAAGAGGCGTGAGTAAATGACATCGACAAGTGTGGGTTTGTGTTCATGGAAACCCGGTACAACTATGTTGTTTCAGTGTGGGTTTGTGTTTATGGAAACCCGGTACAGCTGTGTTGGTTCAGTGTGGGTTTGTGTTCATGGAAACCCGGTACAACTATGTTGGTTCAGTGTGGGTTTGTGTTCATGGAAACCCGGTACAACTATGTTGGTTCAGTGTGGGTTTGTGTTCATGGAAACCCGGTACAGCTGTGTTGGTTCAGTGTGGGTTTGTGTTCATGGAAACCCCGTACATCTGTGTTGATTCAGTGTGGGTTTGTGTTCATGGAAACCCGGTACAACTATGTTGGTTTAGTCTGGGTTTGTGTTTATGGAAACCCCGTACATCTGTGTTGATTCAGTGTGGGTTTGTGTTCTTGGAAACCCGGTACAGCTGTGTTGGTTTGGTGTGGGTTTGTTGTTATCTACTTGTCGATGTTATTTACTCAGAGAGAGAGAGAGCAAAGAGATTTTACAGCAACTTCTGTCATTGTCGGTGGCTGTTTGTTGTTAAACGCCACAATATGACGGTGGTCAGTTTCCAATCTGGACCAGACAATCCAGTGATTGACGTTATGAGCATCGATTCAATGGGGATACGAGGGAATACATCTACCAAGTCGGTAGTAAGACCACCTGATCCCGTTTGTCGCCCCTAACGACAAGCATAGTTACAATTGTAAGTAGCTGAGGGCCATTTGAGACCCAAATCTGCACGGTCGTGAACTGTAACTTTGTGATAAAGCATCTCGAATTTTGTCAGAACATAGTTTGATTGATTTTGTTCTAAATATCGAAACTTTATCAGTATTTCATTAAGTTTATATTGTTGTGAAAAGATTATTGTTTGTTGTTTAACGCCGCACACCGCAATATTCCAGCTATATGGCGGCGGTCTGTAAATAATCGAGTCTGGACCAGGCAATCCAGTGATCAACAACATGAGTATCGACCTACGTACATAGGATACGATGTCATGTGTCAACCAAGTCAGCGAGCCTGACCACACGATCCCGTTAGTCGCCTCTTACGACAAGCATGGGTTGCTGAAGATCAGTTCGAACCCAATCCCGTTAGTCGCCTCTTACGACAAGCATGGGTTGCTAAAGACCAATTCTAACCAGATCTTCACGGGATCTAACCCGGATCTTCACGGGTACACTTTGTATGAATATTCAGCATGTTCCGAGACGTTTTGTCCTTCAGCTGTAACAAGTAATCCAGCAACAGTGCCTTAGGACTTCATTTTATTGTTCAGGACATGCAAACCTACGGAATCCTAGAGGGGACACAAAAACAAGGAAATGTTATAGAAAAGAACAAATACACGACATGGTGTCGCCTGCTGGTGCTCTATATAACATTTTTGATGTTTTACCCAAAGGCGACGATGCAATATCTAACCGTTGTAATATACTCATGGAAACAAATAAAGGAACACATGAAACTACAAGTGTTCCTCTATTCCTTTCTCCACAAGCTTTGCATTGCAATGTGGGTGAAGTTCTTGAAAAGAATAAGGGAATACTTGTACTTTCATGTGTTCCCTTATTCGTTTCCATGAGTATATTACAACGGTTAGATATTGATTGCACCGTTGCCCCATCTAAAATGCGCAGTAGCGACAATGTATCCCTTCTTGGATTCCATTATTAGATGTTCCAGGTATTAACACTTGACACGCTGTTAACAAATGAAATTAAGTTTGGCACCACATGGTGCATCGTTCATCTTGTAGTTGTAGCGTTTTATCAAGTCCATGCAGTGTTCCGAGGCAGTGCTTGGCTGTCCTGGCGCCCAGTCACTGTAGGCGATCTCTGTTGCCTCACCCTCCCAAGCCCATTTTCCCCCTAGACGGAGGTCAGTGGCCCCCACGAAGTAGTAAGTACCTGAGAACAGAAAGCGAGCGGAATATATACTGAGTAAACAAAAAAACTTCACAAATGTAATTTGAAATTTAATGAATAATTTTTCTCTGATGATACATCTATGTATCCGAAATGGGATCCCTATCTTTCGACTCTACAAAAACGTTAGCAAAACCCACTCAAACCCATCCATTCGTCGTGCAAATGACGTTAGTGCCAAATCAGGTTTTGCACGTGCAGTCGATCTCGTGATCTTCGCATCGAAGTTTTCTTCATATGCACGTGTTTGCATTGGCCTCAAGAATTGAAAAAACAACACTTTTAAACCACAGTTCTAACGGTACTTGAAATGCCACGATTGTCAAATGTGCAACGTGAACGTGCCGTTGGCATGTTGCAAGCGGGAAGATCAGTTATTGACGACGCAAGAGCAATGGGATGCAGCCGTCGTACTGTGTATGACTTGCGAGGTCGTCTACAACAAACTGGCACCACTTCTGATCGCCCAAGGTCGGGTCGTCCACGTGTGACGTCACGAGCAGAAGACCGTCAAATCGTTCTACGTCACCTACGTGACAGATTTCTGCCGGCTACACGAACCAGGGCTGAGATGTTTGGAGGTCGACTGTCCTCACAGGCCATTCGAAATCGGTTGCGGGCTGCCAATCTCTATTCTCGACGTCCATATCGTGGGCCAATATTGACGCCGTTTCATCAACGTCAACGTTTGCTGTGGGCCCAACGTCACCTCCGATGGACCCAGAGAGGCTGGAATCGAGTCGTCTTTAGCGATGAATCCAGGTTTACCCTCAGATTCACGGACGGCAGGCATAGAGTCTGGAGACGACGTCGTGAACGGTATGCCAAATGTTGTGTACAGGAAGTCGACAAATTCGGGGGCGGAAGTTGCATGAGGTGGGGTGCTTTCTGTGGGAACAACCGTTCCCGACTTGTGGTCATCCCTGGAAACCTCACAGCTGCTGCTTACCGCGACCAGGTGCTCACCCCCGATCTCGTTCCTTTCATGGCGGCTCACGGCCCAGGTCTACAGTTCCAGCATGATAATGCTTGGCTGCATACCTCGATGTTGATACGAAATTTCCTTCAAAACGCTGGAATCAACGTCATGGACTGGCCATCGAGGTCCCCTGACCTTAATCCAATAGAGCACGTTTGGGATGCACTTGGGAGAAGGCTTCGTGGTCTTAGGAACCAGCCTCAGAATTTGCATGAACTTGGCGCTGCCTTGCAAGAGCAATGGCGCAGAATCCCCAACCACGTGTTCACAAGCATCAGGCAGTTGACGAGGAGACGGTGTTTGGCAGTAGTGAATGCGCGGGGCGGCCAAACACGATATTGACCTGAGAAATTTCGCATTTTTATTCTTGTGACTTGACATTCTGTATACCCATGTTGTGGAACGGCGGTGTAGCCTAATGGAACTGATTATGGCACTGTCAGTGTATCGAGTACATCACACAGATCTCAGCAATGAAATAATAACAATTTAACCATCTTACCATCTCTTGTTCTTTTATAATGCCCTGAAGAAAGAATGTGCAGTTTCTTTTTTGACTCAGTATATAACAAAATGTGTGTCTGCATATATGGGCGTGCGTTCGTGTGCGTGTGTGCCTTTGACTGAGTATGTGATATATGCCCGAAAGAAACGAGGTGTGTGACGCTTGAAAGTTTGGTGAAACTACTGGCCCTCGTGTCCTTGCGAGGTTTAAAGATGTTAAGAAAAATATTTTAAAATTAAGATGACCCCCTACTTGATTTGCTTCATAATGTATTGTACTGTGTAGCATTTCGAGTCGGAGGTCATCTCAAGTTTTTATTAATGTTTAATCTTCGCAAAGACACGAGGGCCTGTGGGTGAAACCCACAGGCCTGGGTATGGTGCTCACAAAAGTAGAAACACAACGATAACGAAACGGGATTTGAACCTATAATTTCAGGTTCCTAGCCTGCCAAATGGACACAACCCTGCACATCGCCTTGCACGACTGGGCACCCGTGTTCCCAAACATCACTATACCGGCAGAGGGAGTTTCTCGTTGTGAGCCGTACTCCTTATTTCCATCTGTCAATAACTGTGTTAAAATGTTCTCCATCCGCTCTACTTATGACAGTGTACATCATGCAGACATGCGTGACACTATGGGCCATGCAGGCTAGCACATGCGCACACGCACGCACGCACACGTGCATGCATGTCGCTATTGTTTGCACACTAGGGCGCGTTTCCCCCCGCCTTTTCAAACTACGAATTTTTCAATGAAACTCTTCATGACGGAAAGATCTCAGATAATTACATGTATAAGAAAAGAATTGAGATCAGAAACTTTCCACAAAATCAAAAGCAGAGCCGAATGTAGCTTTCCGTCCTTATCATTAGCATATGTTAATGATCACTATCACATGGAGATGGTACCAGGGTGCCGTTGTACAAAGCGATCTTAGCGCTAAGGTGACCGTAACTCGCATACCTTAACATACTCGTAAGGTAGTCTTAGCGCTAAGGTGACTGTAAATCCCATACTTTAACATAGACTTAAGGTAGTCTTAGCGCTATGGTGACCGCAACTCCAACACTTTAACATACACTTACGGTAGTCTTAGCGCTATGGTGACCGCAACTCCCATACTTTAACATAGACTTACGGTAGTCTTAGCGCTATGATGACCGCAACTCCAACACTTTAACATAGACTTACGGTAGTCTTAGCGCTATGGTGATCGCAACTCCAACACTTTAACATACGCTTACGGTAGTCTTAGCGCTAAGGTGAGGGAACTCCCATACTTTAACATAGACTTACGGTAGTCTTAGCGCTAAGGTGACCGCAACTCCCACACTTTAACATAGACTTACGGTAGTCTTAGCGCTATGGTGACCGCAACTCCCACACTTTAACATAGACTTACGGTAGTCTTAGCGCTAAGGTGACCATAGCTCCCATACTTTAACATAGACTTACGGTAGTCTTAGCGCTAAGGTGACCGCAACGCCCACACTTTAACATAGACTGACGCTAGTCTTAGCGCTATGGTGACCGCAACTCCCACACTTTAACATAGACTTACGGTAGTCTTAACGCTATGGTGACCGCAACTCCCACACTTTAACATAGACTTACGGTAGTCTTACCGCTAAGGTGACCGCAACTCCCATATTTTAACATAGACTTAAGGTAGTGTTAGTGCTAAGGTGACCGTCACTCCCCTACCTTAACATAGACTGAAGGTAGTCTTAGCGCTAAGGTGCCTGTAACTCACATACTTAAACATAGACGGAAGGTAGTCTTACCGCTAAGGTGACTGTAACTACCATACTTTAACATAGACTGAAGGTAGTCTTACCGCTAAGGTGACTGTAACTACCATACTTTAACATAGACTGAAGGTAGTCTTACCGCTAAGGTGACTGTAACTACCATACTTTAACATAGACTGAAGGTAGTCTTACCGCTAAGGTGACTGTAACTACCATACTTTAACATAGACTGAAGGTAGTCTTACCGCTAAGGTGACTGTAACTACCATACTTTAACATAGACTGAAGGTAGTCTTAGAGCTAAGGTGACCATAACTACCATACCTTAACATAGACTGAAGGTAAGTCTTAGCGCTAATGTGACCGTAACTACCATACTAGCATGGTAAAGGAACAACGGTTGTGCGAAGATCATTGTATACTGAACCGCAAAAGAAACGTCACAGCGATAGAGGTTTCTTAAAACACACACTTTAATTCGCTCTAATTAACAATCAAAACAGATGACAGTTCAATTTTGACAATTATGCATGGTTAACACATTTTCACACCAACAAAATCACCAAAAAATGGTACCATTAAGATACCTCCATGGGCATCGATGACGGCTTTAATTCGCTCTAATTAACAATCAAAACAGATGACAGTTCAATTTTGACAATTATGCATGGTTAACACATTTTCACACAAACAAAATCACCAAAAAATGGTACCATTAAGATACCTCCATGGGCATCGATGACGGCGTTGCATCGTCTGTACATGGAATGAATTAGCCGGTTGGTGAAGGCCATATAATAGGCACTTGGGTCCATACTCTGCTAAATACCTGATCGAAACCAGCAGCAGTTGTCGGCCTTGGTTGGAGGTCATTCAGCCTTCTTTGATTCTCGTCCCAAATGTGTTCTATTGGATTTAAATCCGGACTGAGTGCAGACCATTGTAGGGTTGGGATGCCATGTTGTCTTAGGGAGCCCAATGAAGCCCTGGCTTTGGGGGCACGAGCGTTGTCTTATTGGAAAATGTGATTTCTGTGACGTCAAAAATGTGGTACAACGTGGGGTCTTATGACTTGGTCAATATAGCGAGCAGCTGTCATGCGATTTCCTCGTCCTGGACAGAAATTATGGAACACCAAGGGGCCAACTCTCTGGTTCAGACCGATTGTACCCCAAACGCTTGGACCACCCCTCGAGTCTCTATAAACAACACACTCATTGGAAAAGCGTTCCCCACGCCTTCGCAATACTCTCACTCTACCGTCGGCTGTCCAAACACAATATCGGCTTTCATCAGAAAAGAGGCACAGTCGATTGTCGATAACGCTAATTTTGATGCTGAGTTGCCAATTCAGTCGGTTTCGGCGGTGGCGAGCGGTGAGGACAGAACCGCGATATGGTCTGTGATTGCAGAGGTTGCTTTCGCGCTAACGTCGACGCACTGTATCGGCACTATTATATAATGGAATATAATGGGTCTCTGTGAATCCCCAATGGTCTGGCGTGCTGTTTCCGTCGCTTTGGTGAAGCAGATAGTTGCGCACAATCTGTCAGTCTTGACGTTGTGATGTTATTGAAGGTTGTCCACTGTGTGGACGGTCTTGGATGCTGTTAGTGGCCTGATACCGCTCCTGCAGTCGGTTGATTGTCATAACATGACATTAAAACGATTGGCTACCCACCGTACCGTCTGGCCTACTTGCAATCGTCCGAAGACCTGGTTCCTCTGATCTCTTGTAAGTCGTGCCATGGCGATTGTGTCCCAAAAATTACTGCAGGCGAGTTTGGGACTCGCTTCTATTGGTAGGGTTGTCACAATATGCGCGTGCATACGGAAGCTTTTATCACGTCTACCTATTTAGGTGCGTTCGGTCGATATGTTTTTGCATCAGAAAACAAACTGATGTTGGTAATAACTGTAAATTTGAATTGAACAACATGGTAACAAAACGGTACAATCATAAAAACACCACCTTGTAAGAATAAAGAAATTGCATTTTGTTTTGAAAGGTGACATTTCTTTGTGTTTGAGTATATATCTGAATGTCAAGCCTCCATTACTGTTTTGGAACAGCAGGGATGCTGCTAGGTGTATGCTATCATCTCTGGCTTAACGATTATTATTGTTTCACATTGAGCGAGATTCTGTTTATCGTTCACTCTTGTCAACTGGAATATGGAATAGGTGCAGTTTCCTGAAGGCTGCAGACTACGTTCTGTGTCAGAGGGATGCCACTGGAGCTTGACGTCATGGTAACCAGTGACGTCACAATGATGAACAAACTTAAGAATTGCGATACAAGTTATTTGTACCGATATCAAGGGATGGTTGATTTCAGCCAATCGATATCTCCTGTATAAGCTTTTCAGTGTCTCGACTAATCAGATTCAGTGGCTCGGGAGTTGTGATGGTAACCGATGACGTCACCGTTGTCTGAAGGCATCGTGATATAATGGTAATATGACCTATCAGATAGCTTGATCTCACTCAACCAATGTCTCCAGAAGAAGCCAATTTTAAAATTGCTTTAATATAGTTTCAGTTTTAAGTGTTTACTTTCATGTGTTTCTAGTGGGACCCACATTCGATCACGTTTACCCTCGAGCTCCATGTTGTCTGAAAGTGATGTTTTGACCTTGCAGGTCAACGTCCTTTGTCCTTTGTGCTCGTGATGTTTAAGTTCAACAAGGTCAAGGCCAACGAAAAGAAGACAGACAACCAAAAGATAAAGTAAGCGATATTATACTATTCCTATGAAGGGGATTGACGTTGGGACATTAAATGTATGACATTCTTTTGTGTTATTTTCCGTTTGGACAATATTTACATGGACAAACTGAGAGGCATACATAGGCTAGTGTATTTGGGGAGTGTAACTAATCTGTATTAACAAAAAGAAAATGTATTAATGAAATGTAATGTAAACATGGCGGTCTGTAAGTAACCTACAGGCCGTGTGGATTACAGGCGAATTGCGATGACCAGAGACCTTACACCTCTGTGTGGTCTAGGAGCGCTAACGCACAGACGGTTCCTCCATCTGAACACTCCAAGAGGATATGTAGGCTACGTGAATATTTTGTGACTCAGTACTTGTGTATACTCACCTGTCCCTCAATGATCACTCACCTGTCTGCAGGTGCAACATCCGGGCCTGCGTGATCCTCCTCCTCCCAGTGTTGGGGCCGACATGGATTGTTGGAGGTTTGCCGTGAACAGCTCCACTGTCCTGTTCCAGTACATCTTCTCCCTGCTGAACGGACTGCAGGTACCCTGGGATTTCCCCAACACTTCAATGTACTATTTATATACTGCCCCGCTAAACAACATTCCTCTAGTATGTGACGGCGGTCGGTGTGTAACTGAGACGCGATCACACTATCAGGTGATAGATATCATGAGCAAGATGAATCTACGCAAGTACATGAACCGAGTCAGCGAGCCTCACCCCTGACTCATATTTAGACCAACAATTCAGTCCCCGGTTCTTCATGGGGTATAATATACTGAACATCATTGAAAACGCACCACCTGTAAATTTTGAAATATGGTAATAGGATTGTTTTGAGAGTGAAAAATGAACGTTGGAAATGTTGTTAATAACACAAAAAGACAATAAATAATGCTGTACAGTAAAACGGATTGCCCGAACCCATCATGGAACACATCACATGACAATAACAAAAATTCATGCACAGCACACACGAAAAGCACAACTTGCATGCGTAAAACATGCTGACCAGGGGTATAAAATGACCGTAGGCAAAAAATCCGTTCTCATTTTAGCTGTACCTCTGCAAGTAAAGTTTATTTTGCAATGCCAAGATTGTCACCAGAGGATCGAGTGGGGCGTTGGTTTGCCATCATTCCACCATCATAAGACAACAGGTAACAAGAAACAGGAACCACCATGTTTCTCTCCCCGCCAAGATCGAGACATTGTTTGGCGCCATATTCGGGATCGAACGTTGTCGGCTCCCAGAACCGTCAAGGCCGACGTGGTTTGATCAGTGCTTCCACCGTCCGGCGCCGTCTCCGTGCGGCAGGATTACGGTGTCGACGCCATTATGTTGGACCCATCCTGACTGACAGACATCGCTGTGAACGCCGACGATGGGCTGACCAGCATCGTTCATGGTTGTTACGACGTTGGCATGGTGTTGTGTTCTCCGACGAGTCACGTTTTCACTTTGCGAAATGCTGACGGGCGTCGACGGGGAGAACATATCCATCAGGACTGTGTTGTGCAAAC